TTGTCGTCACGACCTGTGACTGCAGTCTACACACAAAAACTCATCTGTATTATTGTTGTTATTCTTTGGGTCTGTTTGTTGCCACACTTCCAAAGTTTGTGGCTGCACAGTATGAATACAGAGAGAAACATAAAAAATACCCGTATCTGTCACATGTTCAGTACAACACCGAGAGAACAAATGACTTTAGAAATAAGTCGATCATAAATTTGAGAGACATTAAATTCTGGGCTTATTTTTGGTTTATGAGGGTAAAAAAATACTTTTGTCTTTCTAAATTAGTCTAATCGGTGCCGCGTTTGACTCAAGCGAAATCCACATTAAAAAATGCCCTTGCATCTTTACGTGCCATGCGTGTATATCCCACACCCCGACTCTCAGCAAAACAGAGGTAAGGAGGAACTGAGCGATGCTGGACGCGTTATTATTGCAAGCAACGGGACGGTGAGAGAAACTGGGAAGCCCAGGAGCAGACATATTGATCTCGAAAGGTAAAGCTCTTTTTTTGTTTCTCTTAGCACTGCGGTAAAGAAGCGGGCGCAGATAGTGATGGGGCTGACAGGGCGAAGCGTTATATGCGTCCACGGCGTGTCTGTGCGTGTGTGTCTGTCGGGCTCCAGCAGAGGTGGCTCACATTAGACATTTTGGGCAGTGCCTGCGCATTTCTTAATGTGGGTGTCAGGCCGACCTGCAGAAATGACGACGTGACGCTGAACTTTGCGGTGTCAGTCGTAAGGTTGGCTGCAGGAAGCTGATGCCCAGCAGCATCCATCCAGCTAGGGGTGAAGATCACACCTCCTCATCTTTTGTTACCGCGAATAGAAGCACCGCGAGCTATCTGGCACAATCTGGGCTTCATTATTGCATTGTTGCCAGCCACATGTCTCCATATTGAAATGCCGGTATCCATGCTGCTGCTGTTTCCCTGTATCAGAGGACCAGGGCCCATCTCTTCTGTCTGGCATCACACACACACACGGCTTAAGCTGAGCAGAATAGATCACTGCGAGTAGAGGGTGAGATCAAACGCGAACAGGCTGTCAAAGATAAGAGCAAAAACCAGTCTGCAGAGACGATTCCAGCCTGCTGGAGTAAAAATGAATGAACTTGGAGCACGCAGTGGCTTAAAGTGACCTCATCCTGCTTCGTTAGTCTCGTGCTGTCATCACTATCGCTATAAAATCACTCACAGGATCATCTGATATCAAAAGCACCCTTCTAATGTCTAACTGTTGGCCTTTCATGGTTGTGATGACTGCAGTGGAGGGTCTTCTTGACTCTTGAACATAGTGTGGATGTCATTTAGTTTGGTTTTAAAGGTCGCCGTGCACCCCACCTTCATAGGAGCCTCTTACAGCGCATTATTGGTCCTTTGTACGTCCTCTGCCAAACCGTGATCTACATTAGCATAGACTGCGGTGTTACTGGTAATGTGGTGTCTCCATGGAAACTGGAGCTGTCATATGACAAAGTCACTTAATATTAATCTTCAAACCTGCAAGCACGCAGCACAAGATTAAAAGCTCATTACAAAGCGTGTTTTATAAAGCTGGGCTTCATTGCCGTTTTAATCACCCAGAATCATCATGTGATCACAGAGCCTCGTTTCTTTTACGATTACTGCCCAGGCCTGCAGTGCCCTAGATGCACGTGTAGGCTATTGAACCATGCCCCCAGGTTTGGTTTCAGGGTTCCCCTTTTCTGAAAATCCTTGTTTGCCAAAATACAGAAAACACAGACCATACTGTATCCAGGATGTCAGGTAACATATAATCTGTGCACACAAACTCTTGAGGCGAATTACAGTAAAAAAGTGAACCCATATCTCTTCCTGAAAACCCCACAAGGACCCATGAAGGTCTCCGAGATCCCAGTGCGGGACCTGGTGTCCCATATTTCTGTCTTTGATACGATTTATCACCACAGGCTGTGAAACTCCACCGTGTTACGTAGAGTCCTTAAAATCCAATACATACGGTACACATAGAAACTGTAATTATAGCTATATTAACATCAATACAATGATACAGTGAATGTGTACCACACATGCTATCCATTATAGCCACCCTGCTACCATCGAACCGGTCGTGTGACGTCGTTATCGCAGCTGAACCAATGAAATTACTTCTAGCAATTTTACCGCGAGGAAGCAAAATATGGGCGTGTCCATGTTCGTCCTTCCAAAGAAAATGTAAAGAAGCTGCTAAATACACACGCGAACCAAAACGTAATGGCCTTGCTGGCTCACAGGTAAATGTACCCTGTGTCACTGGGGGCATGGTTAAGGTCCTCTCGGGCAGACTTGCTGTTGCCGTGGAAGCGGCACCTTTTTGTTTTTGGGCGGAGCGTTAGCTGCTAGCCTTTTATTTAGCTAGCAGCGACTACCTCAGATAGCCGGTTGTAGGGACTCACATGGCGACACCTCTGTTGTTTCACAACGGCTCGGCTAGCTAACAGCAGCCCGTCTCCTGCCCTCGGCCTGACCCCATGGATCCCGGTGGAAGTGAACTGGACTCCAGCCTGCCTCAGCCAGACAACCCGTGTTTGATAGTGGAGGACTCCCAGCCGGACAGTGTCGCTTTAGAAGACGACCCCGAGAGCAGCTACCGAGCTCTGCTGGCCCGTCGCCTGTCCAGTCTACAGCCCACCGCTCGCAGCCCGGTACTGGTAAGGAGCAGATCTCATTCAGTAGCTCTCCTCTCTGTAATGCAGTTACTGATTACTTGAGCAGATAAAGAACAATAAGCACAGATTTATACTTGAGTAAAATGGTAAGATGAGTGGCTTTTTCACGGACGTTGCACTCAACTCGACCACAGACGGTCCAGTTCATTTCCTCAGCTATCCATCCGCCCATTAATCAGTCAGGCTCACTTTGAAAAACTGGGTAAAATGCAGGCTACACTTTGGACATACTGGCAGAGCCAGAGGCTGGTAATCTGTTACAAGCAAACTGACTCACACTCACATCTGAGCTATCGGGAGGACTCTGCAGCTCACATGTAAAGAGTAAACTCGACACACAGAGGCCTGTGCTGGCTTTCTGTTCAGACCTGCTGGCAGGCGATCTCTCCTCCACGCTCTAAAGCACTAAACCTCCAGGGAAACACTGAAGCACAGTTCATGTGAGATACAACACTCAGGCATCTGTAACAGTAAACCTCTGTCAGTTAGTAGTTGTTGTGCAGCTTTGAATTAGTTTAAACCCAAAACTAATGTTGCACGTTAAAAGTTGAAAATGTATAAAAAAGACAACTTCTGTCATTTACATTACAACCTTCTCTCTTCTAGGAATTAATATCTTCACCAATAGGAAGCAGGTGCTCTCAGACCGGCAGCCAATCAGAGAGCAACAGCCAGGCTGAGCCTGGTAAGTGTTTTCCAGTGTAGTGGGAGATAGTTAAGTGTTTCTTGTCCTGAATGAAGATAAAACAGCGCTTTTGCTTCTTTCTTAGACGGTCTTGCTGCAGCCAACCCCAGTTCGGTGTTCCAGGAGGACAGTCAAGTTTTAAACATCTGCGCTCCTCCAAACAACAAAAAGTGTGTTTGATTTGTCCACTTTTGCAGTTTGATTATGGTCAGGGTCAGATGGCAATGGAAGGTTTCACTTTATTTTTCAGGTGTGTACCAGAGGACGCTGACATGGATTCTGGTGCTGATTCTACTACACACTGTATTCAGTCTGAAGGTACGCATTTTTCCAACACATTAAGTTCCAAAAGCATCTGCCGGTCTGTTTGATGTCGTGCTTGGAAGTAACTGCTATGGGTTGTGTTGTGTTTCAGGGGAAGCTTCTCAGTTTGGTTTTCTTGAGCTTTCTCAGACTCAGGATCTGTGTGGTGAAGCCGTGAACAGTCAGGAGGAAGACGGAGACAAATGCAACAAATTGGGTATAAGGACTTTTATCCACGTGTCTGTATTACACTGTCATTATCCACATTAATAAAGGATTGCATTCAGCTGCTTGTCGCTCTGCGTCGGGGCAGTGACGCTCTGGTTTACTTCGTATTCGTGGCGTGCCTCTGTTAGAGCTAACAGGCAAAACATGGAGGCAGAGCTGCTGTGCTTTTCAAACAGCTGCAACTAACATCTGTCTGCTGGGCTGCTAATGCGACCAGCATAACTAAGGTTCATGACCGTGTTTGTACTGTTGTTGTTTGTTTGCTGTTTTTTGCACTTTTAATGAAATGATCTGACAAAATAATGATGGCTGTGTCTCCAAGGAGGAGTGAAATACTATTTTATTAGCACTTCATAGCACTCATTAGCAGGCATCTATTTCACTGTGATTCATACATGGACAGGTGATTTGCTAACAAAGCTGGCCACCTTATGTGCTAGCTTACAACTTTAGATCTCGCTGGGCCTTTGTTTAAATTTTGATGTCATGATTTTGGCTTCCAGTGGAAACAAGATAATGGGTCCTTTTTTCACTTTTTGTTACTAAATGCTTGTTTTTGTGTTGTGGTAAATCAAGCACAACCATTAGATTTGCACGTCTTAAACATAAATACACACATGATTTAGTTCAGTAGTATCTACGAAGACACACAGTCGTTAGTCAACAAGACTTGTGTTGAAAAAGTTGTGAAAGATTTCACTGATTGCACCTGTAGAAAGATCATTAGTGGCCCAACTGGTCTGGTTTCAGTGACACGTCACTCTGCTGTTGATCAGCTGTTTGCTGTTTATTGCTCCCTCGGCCCCCGCTGTGCGTCTCCTTACTCCACCTGACACCATCGTGCATCCCACGCTGAAGACTTTGGGCCAGCAGGAGCTGATGGTTGCCCTTGCTAAAAGGGCTTTACAGTCAACAGCATCAAGTCCAGATGACTCTTACATTCCTCACCATGGTCACCCCCCTTTTTTGATTTTGATTTTAAATAATCATAAATAGTGGAAATTGCAGTTATTGAACAAACACATTGTGATGGTTATTGGTCGAAGCAAACAGCCCTACTTCTGCTTTCAAATAAGCAACACAGCAGAGATCAAAATGCTTATGTTGAGCCTTGGACACAGGATTCACAAACATGGTGATTGATGTTGCCTTGTGTGCTGCCATCCTTTATATACAGTCTATGGTTGCAACAGAAATGCGTTCCTGATCTCTGGATGCAGAATGAGGGGTGCTGGGTATTATTACGTTTTTACTTGTTCCGATCAGAGCATTCCCAGTGAATCCATGAAGTTAAACAAAATAATCAATGTTCTCTTCATTCCCAGCAGAGCAACACATCAGTTCCAGGACTTCAGAAAGTCAGGACAGCAAAGCGTTGAGGTGCAGCTCCGTGTGACCTTTCAAAGTCTGCATTCATTAGATGTTTGTGTTTTGGCTTTGCACTGAAATCTCTTTTCTTCTCCAGGTCTGAGGTGAGCTCCAGCAGCTCATCAGAGTCGTTGGGTCAGTCAGGCAGGCAGCTGAGTGTCCAGGTTCTGCTGCACTCGCAGAACCTGCAGGACTCTGCTGAGCAGGACCAGCAGGACTGTGAGATCCTGTCCTCACAGGACGATCTGTTCGATGCTGACAAGACAGGTACATTCATGTAGCACTCGAAGGATTACACACGTTGTCTTTTTAAGCCCATCACCTTCATATTGTCTAAGACCACACTGACAAACTGTCACATCAGAAATGTTGGCCTTAAGTGTGAGTTGTGGCGATTTTTGGAAGGTTGCCGTCTGGCAGTCAGCGCTATTTGGACAAACATTTTGGCAGAGGTGTACTGTGTCAGCCTTGTAAATTAAATTATTTAAAAATGCAGGTCTTTTTTTAGTTTATTTAATATTTTTTAATCATTAACTATAAAAAAGGGTCTTAGTTCTTGTTGTATTCTGCTTATTTGTTCATTCTCATCTCACTCCACGCCTTCCACACCCAAACATGACTGTATGCTCTTTGACTGCCTCACACATAGTAACCCAGGGGTTGTTGGAGGGACGAGTGTTTGAAAGTTCCTCACTGTGAGGAAGAGACACAATAACTCAGTTATTTACCTAAATGATTTGCCCTACTTACGTTTTGCTGTTAAGTTAGTGACGAGCTAACCAACAGATGTTGAACGTAGCTTAAAAATGAGTTGACAGGGAAATCACCGTGGACAAGGTTTCACCTGACGTGGTTGTTTGTTTTTTGTTAAATCACAAATAATCACAAACACATGGACGTGCCGGCGCAGTGAGCATGCCCCTGAATGGCCAAGCCTCCTTCGTTCTAGTCGTCTTCAGTGATCTCTAAGCCCTTACAGCTACGCTGGTGTGCTCCTAACATAGGGTGAGGCTTAGTAGACAGGCCCATATAAACCCGTGTATGTGTTCAAATCAGAATAACTGTGAAAAAATGACTCGCTGTATGAGAAGTTGTTGAAAGTAGAGGTGTGGAGCCCAGTTTGTGCTTCCTTCACTGTGAGTAACAGTCCTGGTTTGTTTCTCTCGTACAAACAGAAAATGATCTGAAATTACTCAAACTGCTTCTTTGTCTCTGCGCTGCTTTCAGGTGCTGCAGTGGACAGTACAGTGTCTGAGCCGGAGCAGCAGGGTCACCCCACCTCCACACCCGCCCACACCCTACAGCTGCTGCATCTATCGGGACAGGGAACACTGGTGCAGGAGAGTCTGTCCCAGTAAGCGGCGTGCTGCTGTTGCATCATTCACACACAATAAATCCCTGAAAAATGAGCTGATGTCCTTTTTTCTCTCCCCTCTAGGAGCTCTGTTGATTATGTCGCCCCCACCCCAGACAACTTTAGCCATACCCCTTTAATAGTTCCCAGCTCACCAACCGAACTAGAGGATGAAAATGGTAAATCTGCTTTATTATCTCAGTTTGGGTTCAGACATGGAATCAGCTGGTGGATAAAGCTAACGTCCCTTTGCATTGTCAGGTGCTGATTCACAAATGGATACGTCACTGCCTCCGGATGACAGGGGAGCAGGAGAAAAGGATGAGCCAATGGAAACCGAGGCCGCCCCCAAGCCACAACCATCTGCATCTACTCCCATATCCCAAAGTTCCCCTGGTTTTGCTTTAGAGCGAACTCTCTCTGTACCGTCCCAGCCCGAGTTCTCTCATGTATGTCCTTCACTCTTTACTTTCAGCAGCCTATTTAAAATGTTCCCAGTAGAAAATATGGATTATATATGTGATGTATTAAATTGTCAGAGGATGGAGTGCTAGGCCCAGTGACAAAGACTGTTTGACCTGTCTAATCAATAAAAAATGCAAAAGATCAGCAGATGATGTTGTGGTCGGCTGTATGTCAGCTGACCAGCTGGTTGAAGAGTTCATTGATTTCAGCACCAACTTTGTTTGTGCCCTTATAAAGGAAACCATGTTGACTGTGTAGTTGTTCCTCTGAGGAGGAGAACCGTTACTTTCAGTGCAGGACTGCTGCTGGTTGTTACACCGGGTCTTTGTGCCGCTCCTCCTTTCACTCTCAGAGATGAAGGGAGACGTGGTAAACAGCTTTCGTCTGATTGGCTGCCCCTCGTAAAGAGAGTTTGAGCAGCAGGTAGAGTTTGCTTCAGATGAGCAGTATGTCCTCTCAGTCACATCATGCAACGTCCAGTTTAAAGGCTGAATCTCTGGTTTATAACTGTGCAAAAGTCTTGAGTCATCTGGGTTTTGTATATCTTGTTCTTTCAAGCAGACAGCTTCTTGTAGCTTTGGACAGTTTTCCAGACGTTCTAAATGTCCAAAGGTTTCTTTGGATATTTGCTGTTTGTTTTTTTTTCCTTCCCTTCACTCATTTTAGTTCATAACATTAACCTATGATTAATTCAAGCATAAAAGGCTCCTAACTTAACGGGTGAGCCAGTGTTGTCTTGTATCTTTTGGCACTTGGTTATTAGAAGTCTGTCACAGAAACACATAATGTGTTCCCATCATTTTCTTTTGTTGAGCCTATGAAGAATACCAATGATAACAGTCTGTTTCAAGCTTCATGTCCCAGCGTGATGTGCACCAAAAATAATCTGAGGAAACTGGACGAAAGAGACAGCAGGTCTGAGACTATCGGCAGCAGATGAACATCTGAAAGTCATGTTTTAAGATACCTGATGCAGGACCTAAAAGACACATGTGACTCTGTATTAGATCCACCGGCTGATCAGTGAAGCCTCGTCAGGAACGGTCTCAGTGGAAGGCTGAGATACGCCAAGTTACACAAAGGCTGAAAATCAGGAAAGTGACGAATGCACAATTTCTGGTTCAAATGAATGTAAATGTGTAGCGAGGGTGTGCAGTGAGTGTCTGCAGCCACCTGTAGAACAGGGTGGAGGCTCTGACGTGGTTTGAGGCTGCGTTTCAGGGATTTTGCCAAACCAGGTGGAATTATGAAGATGGAGAGCCTCTGACTGACAGTGGCTTCAGGTTTTTCAGTGAAGCCAGTCCACAGTTCACCACAGTGTGGGATCACTTTGACAGAAAACAGAACAAACCCGGCCAATGTCCAAAGACACCTGGAGAAGTAGTGCTGAAGACTGCCTAGAAAAAGCAGGAATGCCTAAGAGAGCTGAGGCTGTGTTGGTAAAATGAAGCAAAAACTCTTCTTCCCTCATATGTGCTACGTTTGCGTGTCGATAAATGTCTTCCCAGTTTTCCTGGTAAAATATAAAGAAATAAAGGGTGACTCAAAACTTTTGCACAGTAATGCAGACTAACTTTGAAACTTTGGTGCATGCGTAGAAAATGAATAGTTAAATAGACGTAATGCAGTGTGTGAATAAACGTGTCGTTTAGCTGCAGCTCTGATGATTTTCTGTGTTTCTAGGACGTATTTGTTCCGACGCAGAGCCAGGATGCACAGACGCATGAAAAGTCAGCGTCGTTGCCTTGTGAGACGGAGTCTCAGCATCTTGAGTCGGCTCCCTTCACCTTGCCTTTGCAGCTCTCTGTGAACACAGAGAACAGCAGCTGTCATCAGCTCACCTCTGAGGACAGCCAAGCCACTCAGATAGAGGAACTGGAGGAGCCGCTTGCCGTCGACACCAGCGACTCTGTGATTTCGCGTCACGATCAGAGAAAGGAGAGTAAAGCCGTCCCGTCGGAGTCACAAGACGTCGCCGGCTCCAAAGTGTTGTCCTCTGCTGAATCACCGAAGCGCCACGTTGAATGTGCTGAGACTGAAGCGACCGATCTGGCCCAGAAATCAGCAGTTTCTCTGAATGTACAAAATGTGAATGTAAACGATGTGAAGGCTGACAGCAAAGATGCTGGCTGTGCTGACATGGTGTCTTGCTCGCAGCCAAAGTTTGATTCTGCTGATCTGACAGGTAAAAGCTGTGTGCAGGAGACTCCCTCAGACGCTACGCCCTGCAGCCTGCCTTCACAGTCTATGATTTCTCAAACATCTGCTGTGGATGCAGATGTGTCAGGAGGAACTGTAAAAAGTCCCTTTGTGGAATCGTCGACGCCGCAGCCTGAGGTGGGGTGCAACAGCCAGGCAGACAAAAACACAATGCACGAACGAGGTGAAGAGGGGGATCAGGAGGTGGCAATGGAGGTGGAGAACGCCGAGGGTACCTCGGGAATGGGTCTGGTTCTCTCTGAGAGCCAGCTGTTGTCTCCTGAACCCATGGACGAGGAGAGTGAGGACAAGGCAGAGGACAGCATCCTCTGTGTAACAGACAGTGAGAAAGAGGTGGCGTCACAATCAAAGACTCACAGTTCTCAACCAATCACAGGCCAAGTGTCAGTCTCTACCAATGGCCATGAATCCCAGACTCAGGAGAAAGAGGCGCACTCGGCTCCCGATAGGCTGTCCCAGACGGAGAGGGCGGGCTGTGAACCAGAGGCCCTCAAAGAAAAGAGCTTGAGCGACAGCTCGGGAGGTGAGCGTTCTGAAGATGTGTTTATGCAGAGTAAGCAGAGTCGTGTCCACATAGTGTCCAAAGAGTAAAAACCCAAAACCCAGTAGTGTCTGTTAGAAAGAACTGAAAGGCCTGTTTTAAAGGTTGAATGACTTTATCTTTGTCTTTAACCTGATTCCACTCGTGTGTTTCTGATACAGACATTTCATTCCACTTCACCCTTCCTAAAGAAGGAGACTTGATTGGACCTGTTGTCGGCGCCACGCCACCGCTGATCAACCAGCTGAAGCAGACGCTGAGACACAGCACTCCCATCGGTGAGTGGCACCACACCGTTCACCAAAAGCCAAAGAACATAACACGGTCTTAGTAATATTATTTTTTCCCTCCTCCAGAGATCAGCTCTTTTTCTGAAAAGTCGGATGCAGTGGGTGACGTCTCTGCAGACGTGGTGATGGCCAGCAGCGATATCGTTTTGGGTGGAAGTGGCGGTGACGCAGCTGACAAAGGTGACGGGAAGCTGAGCTTGAGGATGAAGCTGGTGACGCCCGTTGAGGAGGGCAGCTCGGAGCGTTTCAGCCTGCAGAGTAAGAACTCCTTCCACGCTGTTTGTGAAAAAGTGTCTCGCTGCCGCACGCTCAGCGATGCATTTCTTTCCCCAGAGCCGACGCCACCAGAAGAGGATGGATCTGTCACCAAGGTTACGACCGTTTCCCAGGCTGTAACCAGGTAAGCTGGCGCTCTCTCAGCACGTTAATTAAATTCTTTCATTTGTCGTCATCTTCTCATTTCAGTCTAATCCACTTGTGCATGCTGTCTCTGTGCCATCTCCCAGTGTAGTTTGAGGTTTTGAGGCGCTCACGTCGTATTGATTGAACTCTAAATAATATTTTTAACTCAGTACTTTGTTAAAAGGATGCACCAAAACTTTATGTTGGATTCAAATTGTTAAATGTTGCCATTGTTGTACTTAAATTTGGAAACCGTGCCTTAAACTGCATGGTTAGATATTCTTCTGCTCCTCCCCGACACATCTGTGATGCTGTGGGAGGTAATTAGCTGTTTAACTGCAGGCAAATTCCACGTGACATTCTGGTTTCCTTATCTTCTGAGGGATGTCCACACCCGGCCATTTAGGGGCTCGCCTATGCTTGCATATGTTGAACCATTAGAGTTAAGCCGTACATGGGTGTGGAGAGATGACCTTTAGATAACCAGGAAATGTGGTTACACAGTTGTAAGCATATATTGTGTGGCAGGAAGACGCACACACAGTGTTTTAACCTTTTGTGACCATAGTTTTTTTTTTTTACAATGGGTGCTGCTTGTATTCTCAGAATAAAAGGCTGTTTATTCGAGGTTGGCTAGGAAACAGGTGAGGAGCGTTCAGCTCCAGCAGCCTGGTTCCAACCAGCCTCCCTTCCGTCGTTGTCTTGCTTTCTTCATGAGTGACGAGTCTCTGAACTAGTGGGGCTGCTGAAGCGCAGATCCAACACACTTGAACATTGGCTCACTTTCCTTAAAGCTGGGATGCAAAAGTAACATTAATGAGGTTTTCTTAAGGTTGGCTAAAATCTGTCAGTGTAAGGCACAGGTGTTGAACTCCAGGCCTCGAGGGCCCTGCAGGTTGTAGATGTGTCCTTGATCCAACACAGCTGATTTAAATGGCTAAATGACCTCCTCAACATGTCGTGATACTGAACTCATCGGGTTCAGGTGTGTTGACCCAGGGTGAGATCTAAAACCTGCTGCCCTCCAGCCTGGAGTTCGACACCCCTGGTGTAATGGATATATGCATGGGTAGATTTAAGTGTCTTACTGCATGTACTGTCAGCATGCAGGTAGTGTGCAGTGCAGTGACTGGATATCAGGCATGTTGGTTTGCTTACTATGTTAAAGAAATCGTTTTCTTTGAGCTACGGCGCGTGACGATAAAACTTTAAAGGTTTGTTGTTCCATTGTTGACGTTCCAGCAGCCCGTCGGTGTTCACTCGGGTCAGGCAGGTGCACCGACAGCAGGAGGTGGAGGAGGACAGCCAGCCTGGAGGAAACACTACACTGGTCAGGTAAGCTCACATCCTAGTCTCACAGAGGCAGATAAAAGCATAAAGATTGACACTGTTTAAGCCTTTCACTGTGCTTGTCAATAAGGAATGCCATTACAGGTTCATATGTCTGGATAAATGTTGTGACTTTGCACTGCAGGCATGAAGGTCCGCGGGGAAAAGCCTGCCACACGCTCACAGCAGTGTTGTCCCACTTTTGTTAGCATTTTGAGCCTGTGATTTGCCCAGTGTTAATGTTAGCACATGCACATGACAGCATTCACCACACTGGCTGTCCTGTGTTATCCTGACACTACATGGATGTTCCCACTTTATAAATCATCTAGTCCTTCACACGTCTGTCTGACCCTGGGATTTGTCCCCTGATGTAGTGTGTTAGGACAGAAATAGGCTTCGTGCTGTGAGCCTGCGTGTGCATGTGACAGTGAGACCTACTTTGTTTCCAGAGGAGATTGGGTGGTTATTTTTTCTACTTGGTGCGTATTCTCTCAGGACATGGAGAGTGGTAAGGTGTGACAAAGTTGGGTCATTGTGCTGAATGTTTTCTGCAAACGTAGTGGAACAGCCACACTGCTGTGATCCTTTGTGGAAACGTTAGGGCTGCTCTGACTCGTTATCAGTCGACTGATTAAGAAAAGACGCGCGTCCATGCCTTGTGTTTACCTTTGGAAAGTAAAGGTAACGATTTGGTGTGTGACGCTGCTTTTGGAGCCTTTGGTACAAACAGGTTTTCAGCAAATCTGTGAAAAGCAGTGAACAGAAGTATTTTGTGGTTGTTGCTGGACTAACTAACCGCTAGAAGAGCTAAACATGAATGTTTAAAAGCAGAAAGGTTCTCGTTGGGATTGCTGACCTGTAATTTGATCACTGGTAAGATGCTCCATAGTTATGTACCGTCTTTTCCAGGGGGGAACTGTTCGCCTCACCACAGAGGAGCTCTCAGGCGTCCGTATCGAAATGCAACAGTCTACCGAACAGCCAGGATGTATCGACCGCGCCGCAGCAGGACCTGCGGGATGCGCTCGCCCCCGCTGAGCCGCCTGAGGACAGCAGAGGACTGCCTGATGCTCAAGAGCCGACCTCCCCGAGCAGCACAACAGTCAGGCAGAAGGTGGTTTCCCAGCAGGCCTCTGAGAACACCATCACCTCCACACCGCCCAGCAAGGTGTGCGAGTCAGGATCAGTCATGCAGAGTTGAATAAAAATGTTGTCTCCATCATATTTGATGTTGTTGTGATATTAATCAGTCTGTCCTGTGTGCTCAGACATGCCAGCGGACAGTCTCCCAGCAGACCGGCTTCGATGCAGCCGGGTTTCGCTCCCCAGCTGGCCGGGTACGCACACTGAGCCTCTTTGGACGAAGAGATCAACCACGTGTTTCTGTCGTTCATTTGTCATTCTTCAATTTCTTTTGTATTGAAAGGGTGAACCCGAGTCCCCGTCCTTTAGAAGAGCCGCCGTCCCCTCTCACCGCAGACACGTGCGCACCATCCAGGAAGTGCGGACCACCGTCACTCGGATCATTACCGACGTGTATTATGAGGACGGCAAAGAGGTGGATCGTAAAGTCACCGAGGTAACTGTCTCTGGGTCTGATTCCTGGAGCCTGTGTTTTTGTGTTTGCTGTCTGTCAGAACATGTCAGGGCTGCAAATTCATGCAATCCTCCTCTGCACGGTTCAGAGAGCAGCACTGCTGTGCAAATCACAGTTATGTGATTTTATCGAGAAACATCCCCGTGATTAAAATCTGCATCATTTGTCCAAACACCCTCAGTGTTCGTTTAATTTCTGCTGAATATTCATTTCTTAAAAAATCACATTGAGTCACATTCATGGGTCTGAGTGTGCATGAGCACGAGCTGCAGCCTCCAGAACGAGAAGGAAAGCATTGACTGCCATGCAGTCCTGTGCAGACATTCGTGGTTCTTTCACTATCAGGCCTCTTTGTTTTTAAAGGAAAATGTATTTATAGATTTTGGCTGTTTAACGTGTTCGTGTCACTGCCCGACGTGTCCAGGAGAGCGAGGAGCCCGTGGTGGACTGTCAGGTCTTGGACAGCGACATCTCTCCGTGCCGCACAGGCAGCAGTTCTGTGACCTCTGGTGATCTGGGGGACATCAGCTCGCTTTCGTCCAAAGCGTCCAGCCTGCAGCACAGCTCCGGGGGAACCAGCAGCAGTACGGGCCTCACCAGACCAGACTTCATCATTCCAGCGAGCAGAGGGTTCAAATCCACGAGGTAACTCCTCATCCTCCACCGTCCCAAAGTTCTTACCGTTTCTCCTCAACCTTCCTGCTCTTTCTCTCTGCACTAGTTGCATGCTGTGTCACTTCTTCACCTGCTGTGACTCTAACCCCCTGATTTCTCAGTGATTCACTGATCCCTGCCTGCGACAGGTCCGTGTTGTCACAGGTGTAGATCTGGGGTCGCTGCACAGCTCTCACTTGTCAGTGAGGTGACTTTTCAAAGTGTCCCCAGATCGGTGCCTGTGCAACCTGACCGGCTCCATTCGTCCCCTCTGTGTGTCTGCAGTCCAAGGAGGGGAGGTGGGCATCAACAGAGGGGTCACAGGGGTCACAGGGCAGGGTCAGTGGTCACACTGAACAGAGGCTACAGCACGCTGGGGTCCCGGGCCTTCGTCCCGCTGACCCCCAGAGGAAGGGCTAGAAGGGGCCGACCCCCGTCCCGCTCCTCCCTGTCCAGGTGAGTCCTCTCTGAGGCTCGCTCTGCACTTACAGAAACCATGGACAGGAAACACTCTGAGCCCTCGCCAGCTGCACGACCTTAATAACACTTTTTCCTTTTCTTACTCATTTTCTTCTCACTCAAACCTTATTCAGGTCCACGGTTTGCATCGCCGTGAACCTGCCTCGTGCAGATTTACCCTGCGTAGTTAATCTGGGGCTAGATGGGGTGCTGCGTGTTATCACATTTGCAGAGTTTGTAGCTGATGCTCTTGAAGTGCTCCCATGCCACACAGACAGCAGCAGATTAGACTGTAAGCTTTAGTTGAGGTACGGGACAGAGAGCTAGTTCGTCTGCTAACCTCCAGCTGGATAAAAGCTGCTTTAAAGATACTCGTGGTTTGTTTCAACAAATAAGGATTATTTTGACATAGCAGGTCCAAAACAGCACTGTGCGTACTGTTAAAGCTAAAGGATATTCACTGATTCCATTAAAATTCCGTGCATCTGTGGAATGTCTTCCATCTCTGCTTGGATTGGGACAACACAGGCCTTTTACACGAGACTGTTCTCTCTCAAAGGGGAGGAGGCGGTGGCTCGCTGCAGAGACTGACGGCTCAGGGTCAGCCACAGTCGTCCTCAGAAGATGAGCCGTACAGCCGCGTGCTCCCCGTCAGCCCCACGGACCCCGAGCTGCCCAGCCACTCGGACTCCCTCAGGTCTTCGCCAGAGGCGGCGAGCTCAGCCGGGAGCAGCTTCATCGGCCTGCGGGTGGTGGCTAAGTGGTCGTCCAATGGTTACTTCTACTCTGGTCGCATCATCAAAGACGCCGGCGAGGGGAGATTCCGCTTGCGGTTCGACGATGGCTACGAGTGTGAGGTTGCCGGGAAGGATATCCTGCTGTGTGATCCCATCCCGCTGGAGACGGAGGTCACTGCTCTGCTGGAAGACGAGTACTTCAGTATAGGTGAGGAAGTGAGCGCGCGTAGTTTAGTAAGATCGCTGTGGTGAGTTTGGCTTTTGTTTTTTCTTCGACCTGGTTTAGACTGAGGAGATTTAACAGTGACATCAGCTCTGACTGTTTCTGTGGTTGTTGCATGAAAGACTAAAACATGCAGGACCGATGGTTCTTGTGTTTGTGCAGGTGTCGTTAAGGGCCATAAAACAGAGGGCCAGGAGCTGTTTTACAGCGTGGAGAAGGAGGGTCGGAGGCAGTGGTACAACAGGACATCGGTCATCCTGTCGCTGGAGCAGGGAAACAAGCTGAGGGAGCAGCACAGCCTCGGGCCCTACGAGCCCACCACTCCCCTGACCAAGGCCTCCGACATCAGTCTGGGTGAGGCAGCCGCAGAGCTGAGGATGGACCCACACGGCTGTGGTACCGCCTCTGCCCGTGACTGTGCTTAACTGTTTTAAACCTCGACAAGACAGATTTTATTTTCACCTCCAGTCCTCCTTAAACAGGTCAAACTCTTTGAAACAGACCAATAGAAAGTTCAGCCTGAGTCTCGACTGATGCGTCTGTTCCTCTGATCGCAGCTCTCGCTGTTTTTAGAGCTTTTCTAAGCCAATCATTCTTATCCATGATGGAGACTGAGGTAACCAATAACATGCATGTTATAGTGTGTTTGTTACAGTACACAGTATGGTGTGGAGCCAGTGTTAGCATCTTCTTCTGTCTTCTGGCCCGTGCTTTCCTCTGTGATGACAGTCGGGTCAGCACAGGGTCATTAAAGGGTCACAGGTCCCATTCTTAGTTTTTTACTCAGATGTGCAGCCTTAGAGGTTCCTCACCAGTAACTACAGGAAGTCTGTGTGTTTGTCCCAGTAGGCAAATGCAGTAGTATGTAACCGGCAGGCTCAGAGAGCTGGGAAGAAGTCGTGCATACATGTAGCACTATGTTTAAAGAATACACTAGGAAGAGCTTGGTTTGCTTCAGGGGGCTGTGAGCCTGTTTGGAGTGTTCACGCATCATCCTGAACTCAGCTTAAAGGCAGGAGAGAGACACCCTGGTTTAATGTAATGGTAGAACGTACAGAACGGCATCAGGAGTGCTCGATGGCGCCTTTCATTCGTGCCTGCTGATACAGCTGCACTGAAAAATGAGACCAGAGCAGCGTTTCCTCGGCACACTGAACCTTCCTAACAGTGATCGTTTTCTGCAGCAGCTGTATTTAATAAAACCCACAGCAACAAACAAAGCCACCATCCTCTGGTCAGACACGTGTGTTTGCTCTTTGCTCCGCCCTCTGTCATTTAAGGCTTGGGTTCACCATTCAAAAGATGATGATTAAGATTGTGCTGGCTGTGTAAGTTATGATGAGATCAGGGTTAATTGTTCAGGAGACAGATGACGTACAAAGATTTGCTCTGGAAGCAGGCGTGGTCGTCTAATACAGAAGCTCTGTTCCTGCGTCAGACTCCTCCTGTGTTATCGCTCCCGAGGGTAAAGACTACCTGTGTCATCCTACAGCTCATATTAGTGTCCAAAGCATCATCAGCAGACAGACGCCGTCCAGCTCTTCAGATACACTGAGACCTATAGTGAGACCAGTGTTTAAACCTAATATATGCTACTGTGTCGAGCTGAATGTTCCCTTCAGTTTGCTGATATTTATTATTGTCCTCAGATAACTTGGTTGAGGGGAAGAGGAGACGCAGAGGAACCCCTGGAGGTCAGAACACTCCCAACCGCAGCTCCTCCAGCAGCCCTCGCTCCCCGGGAACCTCCAGCAAGAGGAAGCTGATGCCCTCAGAGGACAACCAGGGGCCGGCCAAGAGAGGGCGCAGGGGGGCGGGGGCCAGAGCTGGTACGAAGACCGACTCGCCGTGACCATGGCTGTGTGTGTGTGTGTGTGTGTGTGTGTGTGTGTGTGTGTGGTTTAATGTCATATATTTATGGTATTGCAGTTAACTTTGAATTTTAAAGTTGTGATTTTAAACGCGATGCAAACTGGTTTTAATGGACTGTTGATGATTAGCAGCTGATTTTTAACAGTGTTAAGATGACTTTTAATGATTGTGTGTTATAAACAGTTTTATTCATCCTGATGCAGACTTGATTCAGGTTGTTGTTCATGTGAAATCAGTAATATGCCATTTTTGTACTGAGCATAATGAAGACCTGTGTCTGCGGCCTGTGTGCGTCCTCTGCTGCTGAGACGGACTCGGTAATGACTAACCCACCTGCAGTTTTAGCGTGGTGTTCTTCACGGGTGGAGGGGAAGGGAAGTGGATTTCACGGGTGCAGCACAGCTGTTCTGTTTGACGTTGGGAAGGCGAGTTCAGCCACATCACAGAAACAGTTTCTCTGAGCTCTGTGCGCCCACCGTGGGTGTGTTATTTCCCGTGCTGTCAGGAATGATGCTGCTGTTACACTCCTGCTTTATTCTCTGGGCAGGAACTCTTCCACACGTCACAACAATACATCAGAAACTATCTCCCTGGTTAAAATAAGTGAGAAACTGCTTTATTGTGGCTTTGGGTGAACTCGTCCTTTAAGGAAAGTGCAGCACTGTTCCCCGTCTTTAACCTCTAAGTCCTGCTTGTGTTTGCGTCCTCAGCTCAGCGGGTCGGTGTGTGCAATACCTCGGGCAGTGGCACCGATGTCCCGGGTCAGTCTGGGGACGTGGAAGAGTCTCACGGTCCGCTGCCCCAGAACACGTCCCTCTTTATGGGCTTCGCTTTCATGTTGACCGCTTCGTCTGAGACCGACCGCCTGACCAACAAGCTCACGAGCGAGGATGAGGAGGGTGAGACAGATTCTGCTTCAGTACCTCCAGATTTGATTTTGACAAAGCCCAGAGTTGAGCCTTCAGTGATGTCACATAAACACTAATGTTGCGTAAAGATTTGTCTGGAAGCCCAAACGTAGCTGTCGACAGGCTTTTCTGTTGGAGGCAGCAGTGTTGCTCACTGATGAAGCAGTGACATCATCACATACATGTGCTTGGACAGATGAACACGAACACTCACTCTTACTGCTTTTCCCCAGTGATCATGCATTTAATAACACTATATGTTTCCACATGTTTGAGAAGCATTTGGTGCATAAACTTGCTTATTGGGCTCGTTCCCACTGTGGGAGAATCACAGTTTCAACTACAGCGAGTAAAACTTCTTCCAGTAGCACCACTGGGTCCAGTTTAGCCCATCATTTTGTGGTGCTGATTTCTGGGCCATAATTACCTCTTTCCCACTATGTGGTGCTGGTGCCCCTCACCCCCAACTGGTCATGGTGCTGGCGGAGGGTTCTTCCTTCCCACTGTCGCCAAATGTCTGATAGTTTGGGTTTTCTCTCTAGTTTTGTGGGGTCTTTATCTAACAATATAAAGAAAATTGAGGCGACTGTTGTCGTTGTTTGGTGCAATATAAATACTGTCAAACTGAACAGGACTCCACATTATCAGAAAAAGTGTGATGACCTGCACAAACGGTTTTCTCCACGGTTTGCAGAAATGTTCATGGTAGCTGACACACCAAACACTCAAAGTAATGTTTTTGTGTATTTCCAAAAAGTATTGGAACATCCAAACAACTACGAATAAGCTACAATGAACTAACAATGACAAAATGCATATAATGTGCAGCCAGGTGCATCTTGGGATATTAAAGGGGGCTGATTGTGGTTCACATGGTTCACAGCTGAAAGTAATCCTCGTCCTATGCTGACCTCGGTGCAGCTCCTCAGTTCATCCTCTGTCTGAAACCGTCTGTTTCAGCTGCAGCTCCAGGCAGCTTTCTTCTGCTTAGCTGCCTCAGACAGATGAGGGGAACATAATTATCCACTCTGAGAAAAACACTCTGAAAGTGGGTGTTCGGAGCATCCCGAGCGTTTTGCACAGACTTATCTCATT